AATTAAATTTGATTTTGTCCAAAGCAACTTCTGCAAACGCTCAAGTACGTGTCTTTTTTGGAAAGTTGCAAGATATTCCTGGATTTTTCAGTAATTCACCGCAACGTGTAGCAGTACTAAATAAAATTGTGCGAAGAAAAATACTTCATGGCGCTGCAACTCGTTGGAACTTTAACATTCGTACAATTAATGTTGTATTTGAGCATAGAGAGTCGCATAGATGGAATAGCATAGCGAGAGCATAGATGGAAGAAATAGTGAAACATTTTACTCAAGCAACCGTCTGCAGTGCAGCTGACTCCATTGAACGTACTTTACAAGAACCATGATTCGTTTTTTAGCTTACATTTTTCCACCACATCATGCCACATGTGGATATTTTATTCAATCAATTGCAGAAGAGGAAAACAGACCCAACACAGGTCATGTATGCCATTGATAACTTTGAACAGATAATTGTTCATATCCGAAAAACAATTGACGATATTGTAAACAAAGTTTCAAATATATGCACTACCAACTAAACGAAAACGTTCCGGACATAGCAAATTCGATAACCGTGTTGCAGCATTAGAAGTGTGTGACATAATTACAATTTCTATCAAAGATAGATATATTTCAAAGATCAACTTGTAGCAGCATCTCTTTTTTTTTCTTTGCGAATTGCGCAGAAGATTGCGTCTGGAATATCGTTTAATCGATCTATCATAATCTATCAAATCAATCTTAATAATCTATCAAAATGCAAAATACACATAATTATTTGTATATTCCATATAAATTCAATGCTTATTTTTAGGAGACGAACTGCAGCGAATACATTTATTAACTGGGAAGAATCTTTTAAATACTGAAAAGCAATATAATTTGCATACTTTATTTGAAACCCATAAAAATGATGCAATTAGTGTTGAAGGGTGGGTGCAACAAGAGCAGAAATATCCCGTATCAAGCATTCTTCATTACAAAATTCAAGGGCGAATTGATATTGACATCCTAAATTTAAATTCTGACGATTTTGTATTGATTATAATGAACCAGGCTCAAGCAGAAATGAAAAAAAATTGGCTCCAAGACTTTATGCATCGATGGAACACATGGGTTACAATATGGATTTGAACTCATTACATTATTAGTTCTCGACGATCTGAATTAAGGTTTTCCCTGTGCGTTTTTGTTAACTAACAGAACTTACACATTTGTATCGCTGCTTTTTTGTCTGAAATTAAAGGCAGAATTGTGGACCGAAATGCAGAAAATTTCGCCATCTTGCCATTCCACTTCCAAAAAGACGATTGCATTGTTCCTGGCATGTTGATAAAGCCTGGAGGAAAAATCTATCAAAAATAAAAAACAGAAAATATCAAGCAGAGGTGTACAAAATACTTAGAACCCTACTTGAAGAAACAGACGAAAAACGATTTTATGATTTATTTTTG